ACTATTTATTCTCGATAAAAAGCGAAAAATGAGAAAACGCAAAAACTGTGGGTTGCCTCCCACGAAGCGCTCATTTTACGTCTTAAGCTCGACGTCCCCAACAAAACATCAACCGGGATCTAGGAAATAGTGTCGATCATGCCACGCTTTTGTATTTTCCAAGAGAAACTGATCCGGTAGCACGGAACAAAGGTGGGCGAAATGAACTCTCATGGCCAAATTCATGTGAAACCGAGCACGGATATCAACAATCACCAATAGGAGAAGTGAATCTTTACAAACCGAGGTCTCATACTCGACCTCCGAAAATATAAAAATATCCGTGGAGCACGTCGAATCAATCCCGGGCATCGTTTGTACTATCTCGAACGTGTACTCATCAAGCTCAAGCATCGGGAGCACGGGCGTAGGCACACTAAACTCCTCCAAATGGTCACGATCCTCAATAATACAAAACGACGCTCCAAAGGACATGGGAACCACGTCATACTCAACATCACAAGTCGACTCATCAATCAACGCACACCTCGGGTCAACGACATCATATAATAGCTCGGAATCCTCCTCAACAACATCCTCAAAATCATCAACTATCATATTCTCCTCCTCAATATCATTCTCCCGAGCACTATCAACATCGTTTGGCACAATCGAACCCTCAAATGAATTCTCTCCCATCCCGTACACAATATCAACACCCGATTCCTCATGCTCACTCTCAACACTAGAATCAAAGCTCAAAGCACTATCATCGAAAGAGAGAGTTGACGTACCTAACGTGGATTGCACGGCCGAATCGTCGAGAGAGAGAATTTCTTTGACAATCAAATCGTCGATGTCCTCACTCGTGTCGAGAGATTGTGTTCCATCATAGCTCGAAACTCGCCTTCCAAACGGGTGCTCTCTCGAATAACCCTCGCCGATAGAGAACAATATCTACCGAGCAGAATGTGAGATGCGTCCAAATCAAGAAAAGAGACCACGATAGAGTCGAACTTCGTGAGTGTAACTTGAAGAACAGATGGAATTGGAATGCACCTCCAACTATGAAAATCCTCAATGATCGACATAAGGCTCGCGAGTGCCTCTTAAGTGCTCGTCAAAACCTCTTGGTGACGTTCGGAAGGCGCAACCGTGATTGGAAATGAAGCTTCGGTCCTCGGTGTACGAAGTTGGCCAACCGATAGGTGCTCAAATGATGGAGAAGATGGAACATGGGACTCGGTTTCTTTGTTTTCGGATATGGGAGCCATTGAAGCGCGAAGGGATCGATTGCCTCCTCTAAGTGCTCCATAATCTCGGCTAGATTGATTCTAGAAGATTCCCGTGTCGGCTCGGGTGGAGATGGTTCTTCATAATAAACGGGAGGCGGTGGATAGTAGTGAGGCGTCTCGTCGTGACCCGGAGAATAATAACCGAAATCAACTTGAGATGAAGGGTAAGAAGGGCTCGGATACGGATAGGGCGGCCCTCCATACGAGTACATCTCCTCATGATAGTTGTCGGGGCATCCACGAGACGAGCTATCGGCATAAGCATAGCCATACGGATCCATCGGAGCTCCTCTAGCGAAATCCCTTGCACAAGAAAAACAAAACAACCAAGGCACACGAGGCAAAGAAAAGAAAATACAAAACGAAACTAACACGACATGATATTTACAGAAACACACATACCAAAAGCAAGAGAAATAGAAAATAAGCAAATAATCAAGAGAAACACGCAAAAACGAGCAAAATACACAAAAAGCAAGAGAAACACGGAAACAAACGACAACTAGATAGCAAACTTGGCGTCCTACTCGCCTTCCCCGGCAACGGCGCCATTTTGTTTGTAGTATTTTTGGGCATGTGGTAACCGAGCTACCCGACTCGGGTCGTTCTCAAAGGAAGGCTCTTCGGAGCTTTGTTCACTACCTAGTTGTCAAAGTCACACAACCGAAAAGAGGTCCTACACATTCTACTCGATTTAAGCTAAACTAATCTACGAAATTGAGGGCAATTGAAAGCAATTAACTAAGCACGCAAAAAGATGAGAGAAATCAAGGGGAAAGAGAGATTTTGGTTCGCCGGAGTCACTATGATCAAACACGCACAAATAACCGAACATTGCCATGCTAGCTAAAATCCTAGGTAGCTAAACCAAACTCTAGCACAAACGAGCAAGCATTTAACTCCTAGTCACACTTAGTCAAGATTCACGATCCAAAGATTCGATCTTTTCCTCTAAGCAACACAAACACAATATCGATTTTCACAAAAAGCAAACAAAGATATACTAAGTAATGAGGCTTAAGACTAAGTACCCACTCTCACACGCACTTGGGAAGAGAAACGGAGTCAAAAGAACGAAACTTTACTCGAAACAATGTCGCCGGAAATTCGCCAGAAAACTTGATTCATAAGCTCCAAACCAAAATATAAAAAAAAGGAAAAAGAGAAAATAGAGAGTATTTTCCCAACGTAAAAGTTGGGAAATGAGGGTTATGTTAAAAAATACAAAGCATAATGTCTTTATATAGCTACACCACAAAAACACACTAAAAACACGCACATTAAGTAAAACACTCTCGAGGTCTCCGTGAAATTCGCGAGCTCGCGAGTCGGCAAGGCGCTGGGCGTGCATGGGCGCGCACTCTCGATCTTGCGGGGCTGTCCGCGAGTGCGCGGGGCAGCGCGGGCCTGCGTGGGCAAGCATGGGTGCGGGCTAAGGCAAGTGACACTCTCGACCTCGCGGAAGTTTCGGCGAGCTCGCGTGCTTGGAGTGGAGAGCACTCTCGACCTCGCGGAAGTTTCGGCGAGCTCGAGGGCTTGGAGTGGAGAGCACTCTCGACCTCGCGGAAGTTTCG